AACATCAAATTTTCATTTTTGGGTGAACTATCCCTTTAAGCAACACTTAACACTTTATGGACCGTAATGGGGGCTAGTGGCATAGAAATGAATGGAAGTGTGTTTGTTGGGTGACAAGTGACAACCTTAGTGTTATGGAAAATTACTTGATCTGAGACATCAATAAAGTTTAAGTGTATACTGAATGTGAAATTAACTGCTGTGCCTAGCTTAAAGCTGGTTAGGAGAACTGTGTGAAGAGTTTTGAAAAAGTGACCTAATTATTGAAAAATGGGTCCTAGCGATTGTAAAAAAAACTTTAGTAGAAGCTTCATGCTTTTACACAATTCCATGTATGTCAAGTTTAGGAGATCTTTGGGATTGTGTCCAATAGAAGCACTTAAAGATATATTTTATCACAGGTACCTGGGTAAATAAAGGTTTAGGCACTGTTCAGATGGAGACAAACGGTTTAGTCTGGAATTACGTAGCACCTCAACTTGGTAACTGGATTGCTGCACCACCACCATCGTCAGGTAGGAATCAGTCGTATTTAAGATCTCACTCATCAGCCCATCAAACTATTTATCAATCCAAAAGCATTTCACTTACTTTAACACTGAAATCCATATCTTCTTATGGTCATGTGCAGCCCTCTAACCAGATTTATTTTTGTGTAAATCTAGGTTATATGGGGCTCGCAAGCTCAATGGATTTCATTTCCTACCACACATACCTTCTTGTGGGTATCTTGGGAGGAACTCTTGTGATAGCCATTGGATTTTTATCTGTGATTGTATTTCACTGCAGGTAAGAGCTTATTCAGCTATGCAAACATCATTGTATGACTTTCTTATAAAACGCCAATGAGCAACACTGAATTGCGTGACTTGAATATTTAATCTTAACCTTATTTTCATGTGAATGGCAATTATAAAAATATGTAGCAAAAAATGTCCTTTCGTATCTTGTTTTAGAGATTTAAACTATGAAGCTGGAAGAAAGCGATGGAATTCCACCAGGCTCACTGTACTGAAGAAAGACCAGACCACTTCCACCAGCTCTGATGAGGCTCAAGAACTTTTCTTTCATAATGGGGACCGGTCTTTCTCTCTGGCTGCAAGAGGCATCGGCCATGATGCATCAGACTCTCCACGTCACCAAGCCAACTACAACATTTATGTGGAAAATGTTGGCCGGCCAGCGGGCAATCTGTACGAGAATATTGGAGCTGTGGGATTAGAAAGCTTCAGAGCCCCAGTGTCTAATATCTATGTTAATAGTGACGAAGTTGCAAAGCTACGGGAAAAATCTGAACAGAATGGCTCATGCCAGAATGGAGCGGAGAATGTAGTTTTCAGAGACAAGCTGTTCCACATCTATAACCAGTCCGTGGCAATTGGACCAGCCCCAGAGTTGTTCACTTCCCAGGGACAAGCTGACCCATCTGGAAGTAGATCTGCCACTTTCCCACGGAATGGCATGGAGCATGGAGCTCAGACGGAGCGTAACTTAAAAGACAGTTTCACTCAGACATTACCTAAAGTTCCCCAGCAGGACAGCGATGAGCAGCAGGCTCTGGAAGGAGTGCAAGCCGCTGCTGCAAACCCAGGGTTATGGGGCCGCTACAGTCATCTCCTGGAATCCGTATCTGTCCCAGGAACTTTGAACGAAGCAGCCAGAATGGGGCCTTTCCGTGGGGAACTCCAGGGAATATCAGAGCAAACCTTACTGGATCTCTCCAAGGGTAAGCCGTCCATTCACCCGCCCCGGGCCTGGTTTGTGTCTCTTGATGGTAAACCAGCAGCCCAGGTTCGTCACTCTGTGATTGAGCTTCAGGGAAGACATCGTCCAGGCAGCAGCAATGACACAAGCTTGGACTCTGGAGTGGACATGAACGAGCTGCAGCAGCCTCTGCGGAAAAGCGAGGAACCTTCAAGCTCTAGCATGGCTAAAATGAGTGGAAATCAAGAGCAGGACTTGAGCAGCAGTGAAATTGGGAGTCCCG